CCCCAAAACCCCAAAACCCCATTTAGGAATAAAGGTTTGTAATTATCGATAATTTTTAAAGGGAAATAGAAATTATAAAAGTTAAATCAAAAGTTTAATGTAGCATACATATTCTGAAAACAATGAGGAGAATTACATGGCTAGATCTCTGAATACGTTATCAACACCCACAAGTCAGCAGTTGATAACAATGAAATTCAAACCCTCATCTAATAGAAGCAGAAAAAGACCAAGTAACCTAGATCTGTCTGATATCAATAACTAATAGCCGAATTCTTGAAAAAATAGCCCTATTTAAAAAAATAGAAGAAGATTAGAACTTAAAGAAGCATTTGATGATTAAAATAATTAACCTCAATTTCTTAAAGTAAAAATTAAAGATAAAACATGAAGCCCCTCATCCCCAATTTAAAAATCATAATAATCATTGAATAACACTACATAGAACCTGATGAGCTAAATAAATAATGATTAAATGCACACAACTATAGAATTTGGACCTGTGAATAAGTTAAATTAATACTATCCAGAAAAAGATCTTCAAATAATGGAGGAAAAAGAATCATAATCATAGGGGAATATTAGTTTGACACAGGCGAAGTAGAATGACTGGAAGCCTACTAAACTTGAATTAGATTAAATAAAACTTACAAATATTCTGGCTAAACTTGATAGAGGGCTTTATGAAGGTGAGTATAACAGGTATAAACAAAGACATGGTTATGGCAAGAATTATTACAGTGATGGATCTGTGTATGAAGGTCAATGGTAATATGATAAAAGACATGGACCTGGTGCACTATTTAGCTATTAGAATGAGCAGCAATTTGCAGGTCAATGGGAGAGCGATATGAGGAATGGTCAAGTAAGATCTTATTTAATGCTATTTTTAATCCTTACTAACTAAATATAGGGTGAAGTCTTTTATAAGAATGGCACTCAAATGACATGTTAATGGACAAACAATATCAAAAATGGCAAAGGAAAAATTTTATTAAAGCATAAAAAGAAATATTTAGAAGCATAGTGGCATAATGAGATATTAACTCTCAAAGATCAAACAAGCAGGTTTTAGAATACCTGAATGGTAATTAGTCTCTGGCTCTTCATCACAGTTCTGGTGTTAAGTTATTATGCTTTTAGAACATCAAATAGTCTCTATAATTGGCTATCATTGTTAACTTACTTCCTAAGCATTATTGAATCGATATAAAGCAAACAATTCCGAGCAATTCATTGATTCTAAGATATTAAAACAGTACTTGAAAAAATAGCGAATTTAAAGGAGTAGTATGCGAAGCTTGACTATGAGATTCAGAATTTCCATTTTACCTCAAATGAGATATCATTCGAAAAAAAGTATAACAGTATTACTTACGAAAAAGATACAATTTTCAATGATAAGAACTTAAGAGAAAAAGCAATTAGCACCCATTGAGCCAATAAACAGTGGCTTTACGAGGAATGGATAGACTGGTCTCCTCCCATAGAATCTTTTGAGTATATATCAGAGTTTCAATTTGTTGAAATTGACCTTACTATAGACTTTATGCTCTCCAGCATAGCCAAATAACAAATGGAGAACATATTTAAAGATTTTAAAAATAAGAATATTCGAGATGTATATTTCGACACATAGATTAGACTGACTAACATGAATAAAAGTTTATAAATATTTACTTCTAATCACAAATAAAGAGGCACTCCTTGGTATTTAAACTAATGTGGATATATATTTTTGACTGCAATTTGCCTCAGCTTTATACAGAGGTTTTTCATATAAAAAAACCTGAAAAAGTTTTCATGCAATATTACCAAGTATATTCTAAGTTGATTTCATTAATGAATTATATCGTAATTTGATAATAATATCCTAAAATATTAGTTTGACACAATACTGATGGGGTTTTGGGGTTTTGGGGTTTTGGGG